TTTCAAAAGATTTTGATTTTAAAACAATCCCCGTGGTCACCTCAAAACTAAAGTCAACAACGACAAATTAAAGCCAATAGAATACGCTGACGATGCTCACTCTACAGCTGAGTCGGCAGCAGCTTAGTGCGTTAGCATCGAAACAATATCGGTCCATTTGCGTCAAATTAGGAGGTACAAAAACTTGATAAATGGGCACCGTACGAACTGTACGATCAATAGAGCAACGGTAGCTAAGGTACGCCTTGTATAACAGACACAGAAATGAAGGAATTTTACCCGCATTATCACTCGATGAATCTATGAAAACTGAAGTATTTTTAATTAATCGTAAGACGCCATCATACTCATTAAGCCTTTGTTCAGCAATTGCTAAGTTGATTTTGCTAAGTTGCTTTGTTCAGCAATTGCCCCAAACGAAAACTTACCCCTAAAGAAGTCTGTTTGTATAATTCATCACAGCTTACAGCATCACACTTAAATTCTTCAAGAACTGCATAGAAAAATTATTTTGATTAATAGAAATCACAAATACTTATACTTAGTCCAGCCTAGTCCTGTTCTGTTGCAAATGAAAATGCATTTTTTTTAATGAAGTAATTTATTAACATTAAAATACCTAAATAACTACATATTTATTATATTTAAGTCTCAGCAAAAAACACAAAAAAAATCTCATCGAAATGGCCACTTTTGGGTTTTGTACATGCCTTTAATCTATATGCCACAAATCTATAGATTTACGCATAGTTTCCAAGGGAGATTTCGTCACTGCTTGCTCCAAAGATTTTTTAAGAGACTCAATGTCGCCGTGTCGTTTAGAGCAGGCCATGTCCTCTAAAACTGACCATAATCTGAAGTCTAAAGGGTTGAGGTCTGGGCTAGATGATGGCCAGTCTTCAACTCTTATAAAGTCCGGAACGTTGGTTTCAAGCCAGTGTTGGGTAGTTCGTGCCTTGTGACCAGGTGCAGAGTCCTGCTGGAAATATTTTTGTGCCCACGGTAGGTATATTTTTAAAAAGTGTATTGCTAAGAGATTTCATAACATAATTCAAGACTGTATCTTGATACACTTTGCCTGATGTTTTCACAAAAATGTAGTTTTGTGACATCTTGATCAAGACACGCCCCACCAAATCATCACTGACGCAGAATGATGACCGCGTTGTAACATTCCGACCGCTTGAGCAGCTTCTTTAGAACTCTGAGCGCACACTTTATCGTTTTGGTTATTGTAGTGCTCTTCAATCGTGAAAAATTTTTCATCGGTAAAGAGCCTTTGTAATTCTAACAGCACGCGGCCGCCCGATCTTTTCTGGTCTTCGACAGACGAAGTGTTGTTGTTTCCGTTGATAGTACAATATACGAACATACGGCTAATACCAAGCTTTCGAAGGGTCTGGAATATGACCGACAGCTCCATACCCACTTTGTGAAAGGTGATCACTGCAACCCTATTTTCTTTAACGCCCCATTCTATACTGTAATTTGATAATGAACACGAAAAAATATGTAAAATGTCGCAAAATCTAAAGAAAATTTAAAATAATATACGTGTTCCAAATTAAAAAAATATTAAAAAGTTGAAAATAACAAAAGTTTTTATGTAATAGTATTTATGGCCAGACTAGTTATTTAAAGCTTACTTTAAGTTTCTGTATACTAAACGGCAATTTCGTAAAGTAAGCACTTAATATTTTATTTCATAACCACTAAATTTTTTTTATGAAAAACAAACAAAGAAATAAAGGCCAATGACAAAGTTAATTTTTTGTTATATTAAAACGACAAGTAATTAGAAACAAAATGAAAGCTTTACGTTATTGATGAAATCGTTAAAGCAGGAGAGAAAATAAATAAAAAGAAATATAAAAAATACAATTTACTAAACATCATTTTAAAACTGAGTAAAAATTGAAAAGAAGTATTGCGTACTAGAAATAGAAAAAGAATTGGACATTATAGGACATTTAGTATTAGTTATAATATAGGTGGACATATGCTCGACATCCTACCGATTTCTGTAGCAAAAAATCATCTTATATTCCAGTTTGAAGTGTTATAGGCCTCAGTCATAGTGTTTTCTCTATGGGCTCCGGTATCTCTCTGCAGAAATGTTTAAAATGATCCCATAACCTCGTTTTTATCATCGCACCGCCCACCACCGGAGCAAAGTTCATCCATACTACCTAAAATCGCTGCAGTCATGAACAGTGCCTTTCCAGCGATCTTTTTTTCCACGCACCATACGACTTTGCAATTAACTCCCCTCCACAGTGTTTCCTGAGGGCTATAGGATGTTCTTTTTCTAATGAGGTTCAGAGGCGCGCCGCCCCTATGTGCGATGTGTTCAGTGCACACAGGCGCCAAGACAATAAGGGCGTCGCTACCGAAATTATTTACGTTACACTTACACAGCAACAAATTCTTTGTAGTGGAGTATCGATAAGTAAGTAGGTACAATAGGCACAACATATAACTTGTAAATAACAAAACATAAAATGCATTTATAATACAAGCATCCCAAATTTTACGTTAAAACATAAGTCAAAATTAACAAATAATAAAAAAAAATACATTGAAACATGAAGATTCGTAAAAATAGGAGGCGCTTCATAGGTTTTGCACACAGGCGCTGCCGGGGATTGGTGCGGCCCTGATGAGGTTGTGGAGAATACTCAACGGTAGGCAGCGGCTTGGCTCTGCCCCAGGCATTGGTGACTTCTATGAGTGACGGCAACCTCTCGTCATTAGGTAAGCAAAAAATAAAAAGGTAAAAACGTAAAAGGGCAGATACAAAGCATAAAATGGTCGTTCTGCTCCCCAAAGAGAAACGCATTAGGGATTGTACGGCAGAATACAGCATACATTTATTTGAAAGCTCATGACAGTTGCGACATGCCTTACAACCAATTTTTTGCAGGATTTTTTTTGACTATTATTTAAGCAAATATCTTTTTCGCCAGTTTTAGATATTATTAAGACTAATTTTACTCTATAACCGCATATTATTTATTGTCATAATATTATTTCCGACTTTTCGAAAATTTTACAGTTTTAATGGTCACGGAAAACTAAGGTGCTATTATAGAATTATTTTTATTACACTTTATAATAGCCTAAAGGATAATGAAAATTAAAACAAGAACTAATTTACGACGTTCAGGATAAAATAATAAATTCAGTATAAGCCGAAGGACTCGTAAACAGTTCTCCAAATCAAAAGCAATATTAAAATCGTATATCACGTCACAAGATCGTTCCGTACTCATTATGCCTATTACGTAAAAGTCTGTAACACTGTAAAGGGGATGATAGACGTACGAGTGAGTACGCATACTTATAGCTCGACGACCTTTTCGCCCGTGTGTCATTTTATTAACTATACTTAACTATACTTATGGATGGACGGACTTAGATGGGTGGACGAGCTCACAGCCCACCTGGTGTTAAGTGGTTACTGGAGCCCATAGACATCCACAACGTAAATGCGCCACCCACCTTGAAATACAAGTTCTAAGGTCTCAAGTATAGTTACAACGGCTGCCCCACCCTTCAAACCGAAACGCATTACTGCTTCACGGCAGAAATAGGCAGGGTGGTGGTACCCACCCGCGCGGACTCACAAGAGGTCCTACCACCAGTAATTACGCAAATTATAATTTTGCGGGTTTCATTTTTATTACACGATGTTATTCCTTCACCGTGGAAGTCAATCGTGAACATTTGTTGAGTACGTATTTCATTAGAAAAATTGGTACCCGCCTGCGGGATTCGAACACCGGTGCATTGCTTCAACACGAATGCACCGGACGTCTTATCCGTTAGGCCACGAGATACAAGTTCTAAGGTCTCAGTATAGTTACAACGGCTACCCCACCCGTCAAGCCGAAACGCATTACTGCTTCCTGGCAGAAATAGGCGGGGTGGTGGTACCTTCCAGTGCGGGACGAATGCACCGGACGTCTTATCCTTTGGGTCACGACGAAAATGTACAAAAGGTTTCCAAAACAATTTATATTTCATTTCATATTTTTTTGTATTGTTTCAATAGTTTTTAAAACGCAATACGATAAATCTCCTAAATAACACAGCTGCTTCTATCAATATCGCAATAGTGTGAGTAAGCTCCACGTGCATCAGCGACGTCGACCGAGTAAGTTCACGATCTTAAAAACCGGCTACATAAAGTTTATACGTCTACCACTCACTTAACACACTAAGTTAAACCATGATCATTGCCGTGGATCGCTATGCTGCTTCAAATTGTAGCGATTTACCACTTTACGATTTTACTTTCAACTTTTACGATGGGTTTAGGTTAAAAGGAATAGTTCTTTAACGATTTCGTAGATAGAGTACAATAGCCTACAATATCATAACGAAAATATCGATACAATTTGCCATAAGTTGTCAATATCGTTTTCGATCGATCCTTTTAGTCTGCAAAAGTGCAAAGTATTGGAAAATAAAATATAGCCACTAGACGTGGCTTCTTGGGTTCTTCTAAAAGGTCCACTGAACTATCAATAAATAACCAGCATTTTACTGAGTTTATATTTCATCCCATCCTATTTTGTTTCATTCAATTTCATCTCAATTAATTAGTCTCAAATTAATCGACTTCACCTCATTATTTCGCTTCATATCATTTTTCATATATTTCTTAGCTCTGGGTAAGAAAAAACTAAAACCATAAAACGTACAGTGATTAATTAACTCCTACAACGTTCTTTAATGTTTTCTAAAACTAGTAGCTACTAAATACGTGCAATATATACTATACCGTACATCAACTACGATACCTATTAAGTACTGGCGATGGCAACACTGTACAAAAAATAGTACACAATCGCTAAGGAACAATAATTTTGTTCTATTTTTGTGTTTAAATTAGTTTATGTCCTGTAGTATAGACATATATAGCTCTCGTTATAGATAAAACAGTAAGTGTTCTTATCAAGACGTATGAGTGTCAAGCGGTAAACGTGTAAGTTGACCTTTGCATAGCGAATTATAACCCTGCGGTGCCTCGGTGCCTCTCGGTGCGCGACCGCATCATGAAAAATGTTATTGGAAAAAGTTGGCGTGACGCCGCTACGTTGATAGTGCTCACGAAGCGTAGTAAGCAGTCGCTGTCGCGCGGCGGTGTTAATTACGAAATTCTGTTGCAGACTCGGACGGGTCGCGGTGCGTTTCCAAACAGCGTGGTGTTCCCCGGCGGAGTTACCGAAGACGCTGACGAAGACGATCGCTGGCTACAGCTGTTCAGTTTGTTTGGTTACACGAACAGAGATTTAGAGTCTCTACATCACGCTAATGGTCCTATCACTTCAATTTTACAAAAGAATCCCATTCGAAGGTAAAATTAACATATTATTTAAATTTAATCGGGCATCTCAACTACATTCTGACGTGCAGTCTGCCAATCTGGTGTACCTCTAATGGATATCATTAGTGAAGACTAAATTGATTTGGCAATTTACATTAAAACAATTGGAATTTCTTTTTCACTATGTCATTAAATGTCCTATTTTTAATGTAAAATTAAAAGATACCTATAAAACTATAGGTAATATAAATACACATTAATAATATGTTTTTGCCTAAATCTTTTATCTATGCTGCTTAGAACCACAATATCCAACAGCTAAAACACATATTTACTCATTCAACAGCGTCATTAAAAACCTGTTTTGAGTTAGTACCACAAAAATAAAAGTAATGAAATTCGTGTTAAATTGATGTTAACATTATTCATGAAAAGTAAAAGATAATTACTTACTGTCTGTAACATTTTTTTAGGCACATATCATTAAGAATTACAGCCATCAGGGAAACTTTTGAAGAGTTAGGAATTCTGCTATGCAGTCAGCAGCACAAGAAGCAAAAGGACGGCTTAAGGGCGGATTTCATATCTAATATTGATGTTAAAACTTGGCAGGACAGAGTGAGTGTTTGTGAAACTTTACTGACAATTACCGTTTTCCTCTTAATTTCATTTTTATGTTTTACAAATATAACTTGATATTATATTTATAATACCTTACATTTTCATGCTGCAGTTTTGAAACACTAATATTGAATCAGTCTTACTATGATTTTTTGTTTTTGGGTGTCCCTATTTCAGAAGTGTTGTGAGCACCATGCAATCCTTGTTGTCTCTGATTATATTAGAACATTAATATCCGTTGACTATTCTCATTGTATTCTTCAATTATGATGAAGAGTTTGACCAGTGAAATAACCCACTAAGTTTCTCGCGAGATCTTCTCAGTGGGCTGCTATTGGATGGATTCCGATCTGGGGGTAGATTCTGCGAAGAAATGCTCTTGCTAGTCTTAGCAAATTCTCACAGGTTGAACCCATAAGCTCACCTACTCGTCCAGGCAAAACCCCAAAAACCCTCTAATAGTTAGGAAAAAAAAAACCGTAATATTTCTATATTCTTAGATACTCACCATATGTTAATTTAATAAATTACTAGATAACATAAGATTACAGAGTTCTAAAATTAATGAAAGTTTAGAGCTAAGTAGCTTTCACATCAATTCTATTACAGTGTAATACAACATTTTAACTGTAAAATTCATCAGAAACTTGTAATTTTTATTCATTTTATGGAAACATGTTTCTCTGCATAAAACATTGTTTGCTTTTGCTATAGATATAATTTAAATTTCACAACAATGTTTATTTACAATGTTACATAAGCCAAATATGAAACGGACTGTAAATGACTTGGAGTCCTTGAATAAAAATAAAGTATTTCTACACCTTTTTGTTAGCACTTAAGTGTAATTTTTTTAAACAACAAAAAATGTAAATTGACCCGTTTTAAATATTTACTCGTCCATGCTCGCTGCTTCGCTTGCAATAACTACTCTTAAAAAGACATTGGCGGGGTCCCATACTCAGCAGTGGGATCATAGATAACCTAAATTCTTCCCAAAGTTCAAATTATTAATAACAGACTTTTCTGGTCGTTCCCTCAATGCTGAGGATCGTGACTGTATGTCAATCTTCTCCACTCGGTCCGGTTCTACGCCATATGTACCGCTCCCTGTATCTGGCCTCCAGTCATCTCCTTGAGTTGGTCCACCCATCTAGCCGGCGCTCTTCCTCTAGCGCGCTTCCCCTCCATTTGTCCGATAATGATGAGTTTCTCCAGGCTGTGCAATGAGGATCGCATTATGTGCCCAAAGAAACTCCGGATCCTTTCCTGGCACATAGTCAGCAGGCGCTTGGTAAAACTAAATTAAAATTTAAAGTAAAACAGACTACACATACTGAATTTGATCAAAATTAGTTCAGTGATTTCGGTATGAGGTAACAGGCAGACAGTTACTTTCGTATTAACAGTAACATTGAAATATTTTATATAGATAATAAATATATGCATAATGATGTACACTAAAAACTTTTATCATCTATGTGAACTTATGATAATATAATTGATTGGTGGTATATAGTATTGTGAGCTTACACAGATAATGTAGGCAGCTTGCCCCTGGCATTGCTGAAGTCCATGGGCGAAGTTAACTACTCACCATCAGGTGGGCTCGTCTGCCTACAAGGGCAATAAAAAAACTAAAAAAACCCATCTTTCCTTTTATTTCTGCCCACAAGTAATCAATTCTTCTAGTTAGAAGGGTGGGACTGCCATTTTAAAAACAACTGATACTCCAACCTCATATTGCAATGCAGATGTAAGCATTTATGTTGTGATACCTATGGTTAGCATTTATTTAATGCAACGAATAAATAATTTAGAATATAATGACATTGCATATTTTCCTCCTAGAAGAATAATTTTGATAATTTCTTTGAATAAACTTTTTGGTCTTTATTGATTATGTCACTTTATGGTCTTTTTCTCATCACATAGCAATTTGTTTTAAAGATATTGGTCTTTTGCTTGTCTTCTAATATATCTTATATAATATAATAATATATTTCTGGCGCCCATAACACAGAAGCAAAGGATTTTCTTTGTTATAATTACAGCACGAAGACTGGTATAAAGTAGAAGTAAAAATCTAAAATATTATCATAAACAAACCCTCGAAACAGTATCAAGGAGCATGAATATGGAGAGATTATATTATCTGTAGACCTAAGTAGCCAATTGTACAACTATTGACAAATAATGATATCTAATAATAAGAGTCCATTTAAAAAACAAAAATAGTAAATACAGTATGATACCTTTTGGCCTGTAACAGAAATAAATTCTTTTTTCTTATAACAGAAACAGAAAAGAAATCCTTTTTTTTTTTAAGGTAAGCAAGAATCCAGAAAGCCTTTGGAACCTGTGTGAAGATTATAAGTGCTATCCAGACATATGGTCACTACATTACTGGAGCAATTGGTTAACTCCAGCCACTTTACCGAAGAGATTCAACACAGCCTTCTTTGTGACAGCGTTAGAGGAAAAGCCTGAGTTAAAAAATTACTCTACAGAAGTTGCCTTTGTTAAGGTAGGTAATTTTGTTTATTTTAATTCCTTCCTGGTTTTATATATATTCAAATATATAAAAGTTCCCTATCAATACCATTATTACACTAGAATTGCCATATATACCAATATTTTTATGTTGCTGGGTCGCCAAACTTAATCAACTGAATCCACTGAATCCATTTTGTTTAGATTGAATACTGATTAAAAACAAAAAAATGTCAAAATGTTACATAATGGCACTTCTGGAAATTAAGTTTATAAAGAGATATTTCTCATGAGACATTTCTCAATGCCACAATTTTATTAGAAGTCTTTCATTGTCATTGCATAGTTAAAAAAAAAACAAAATGACATTGGGCTGATTTTGTATTGTCTAAATAGCTTGAACATGACATGTCAATATGCATAAATATGAGAAAAATTACTTGATTTTGTTTTTAATAGCAATGCAAACAAAATAGCGTTAACCTGATAATAACCAAAGTAATTTATTCTCAACATCAAGCTCACCAACTCGGTCATAATCATATAATTGAATCAGATGTTGTCGCATATCTGTTAAGTGCATTATTACCTAAAGATGTTATACAATTTACTTATCATTGTTATCTCCTTATGATTGCCAAATTATCAAAGCTTTGAATGCATTTTACGGTAAAATGACTTTTTGTTTTTTTTTTTTATCACAATGATTTATGGACAAGCTCACGGCCACCACCTTGAGACCTAGACATCAAGTAGAAGTTTATTTTTTATTTGTTTATTGGGTTCTACTATGCCGATACTACATTTCCAACCAAAAGGCGCGTTTGCTTCGCGAAAGAAATAGCCTGATTGGTCATACTCTAAGCTGACAATAACTACCGCTACTAATTACGAAAAGAATTTTTTTTTTATTGCCCTTGTAGGCAGACGATCATACGGTCCACCTGATGGTGAGTGGTTACCGTCGCCCATGGACTTCAGCAATGCCAGGGGCAGAGCCAAGCCGCTGCCTACCGCTAATTGTCAGTTCAATTCTAGTACACAGTGATATTCTTTGATTAGGGAAATCTTTTTTGAAACACTACTTGAATATTTGGACCCTAAAATTGTACCATCATTTCGACGAGATACTGGGCGTATTATTACATTTCAATTATCAATAAATTCATCTCACATAATTCAATTTTAAATTCGTACAAATTTTAATGTTTCAGTGGTCAGACCCAACTGAGATACTCAACAGCAGTGACGTGAAGTTATACCCACCTCAATCATACGAACTGACACGGTTGTCTCACGTGAAGGACCTGGATGAACTGATTGAATTTGCCAAGAGCAACAGTTGTTATGGTCACGAACTTGTCTTTCCTGTGTACGTAAAAGTAGCCGATGGAATTCTGCAAATATTACCTGGTGCGTATATAAATTGTATTTTTTATTTATTGCTTAGATGGGTGGACGAGCTCACAACCCACCTGGTGTTAAGTGGTTACTGGAGCCCATAGACATCCACAACGTAAATGCGCCACCCACCTTGAGATATAAGTTCTAAGGTCTCAAGTATAGTTACAAAGGCTGCCCCAGCCTCCAAACCGAAACGCATTACTGCTTCACGGCAGAAATAGGCATGGTGGTGGTACCTACCCGCGCGGACTCAGAAGAGGTCCTACTACCAGTAATTACGCAAATTATAATTTTGCGGGTTTCATATTTATTACACGATGCTATTCCGTCACCGTGGAAGTCAATCGTGAACATTTGTTGAGTACGTATTTCATTAGAAAAATTGGTACCCGCCTGGGATACGAACACCGGTGCATCGCTCAACACGAATGCACCGGACGTCTTATCCGTTAGGCCACGACGACTTCAGCATCTTCAGACTCCATTTCATCAGACTCAGATCAGACTTCATTTACATAATACATTATACTAGAAGGGAAAACGCGCATTTTAATTTTAGTTTCGTTTTGTTTTCAGGTGACGACCTGTATCCCTCAGATGTAAACGACAATAATAATAATAATAAATATATAGACAAGACGATTTTAGAATTAAGAGAAAACTGTAAAACTATCCACAGAGCGGAATACCCAAAATCGAAAGATATCAAACCAGTGTTTGTAATTAGGAATTACAAACCATACAACCATATCGACATGGGTGATCGTAAAATTACATTACAAAAAAATTAAATAATTTTGCTACGAAATATAAATTGAGTAATCGCTTTATCGATTGATATTATTATTATTAGTACAAAACCACTGAACAATTTAACATTAAACATTTGCAAGAGTAGAATCACAGAAAGATGGCTACCTCCGGTAACTCGTGGCCTAACAGCCAGGATGATTATGAACTGATGGAAGTGATCGGGGTCGGGGCCACGGCCGTCGTGCACGCCGCCTTCTGCCGCCCGCGGGGAGAGAAGTGCGCCATCAAGCGTATCAACCTCGAGAAATGGAACACCTCCATGGATGAACTGCTCAAAGAGATTCAGGCCATGTCAAGCTGCAACCACGAAAATGTCGTCACCTATTACACCAGCTTTGTGGTAAAAGAAGAACTGTGGCTCGTTCTGAGACTTCTCGAAGGAGGAAGTCTTCTTGACATCATCAAACATAAGATGAGGATCTCCAACTGTAAACATGGAGTATTTGATGAAGCGACCATCGCCACGGTTCTCAAGGAGGTGCTTAAAGGATTAGAATACTTCCATCAGAACGGGCAAATTCACAGGGATATTAAAGCAGGAAATATCCTCCTCGGTGATGATGGAACCGTCCAGATCGCCGACTTCGGTGTGTCTGCATGGCTCGCGACCGGCCGGGACTTGTCCAGACAGAAGGTGCGACATACATTCGTCGGGACGCCTTGTTGGATGGCTCCCGAGGTCATGGAACAAAATCACGGTTATGACTTCAAAGCGGATATCTGGTCGTTCGGCATCACCGCGATCGAGATGGCCACCGGCACCGCCCCGTACCACAAGTACCCACCGATGAAGGTACTCATGCTCACGTTGCAGAATGACCCGCCAACACTCGACACCGGCGCCGAGGAAAAAGATCAGTACAAAGCGTACGGTAAGACTTTCAGGAAAATGATATCGGAGTGTCTCCAGAAAGATCCAACGAAACGACCTTCGGCGCCGGAACTGCTCAAGCACTCGTTTTTCAAGAAAGCAAAGGATCGAAAGTATCTCGTGCAGACGCTCGTCTCGAACGGCCCGAGCATGGAGACGCGCGTGCACAAGGCCAGCAAGCGACAACCTGGAGCCTCCGGTCGTCTGCATCGCATGGAGACCGGGGAGTGGGTGTGGGAGAGCGACGACGAAGAGGACGAGGACGATGACGCCGCCAGGGACCGACCCATGAACACCCTCGCACGTGCAGACTCCTCCGACTCCGAGGGTGAGGAGCTTGGCGAAGGTCGCGCTGGTTTCACGATCGGTTCGCTCACTGGTGGCGAGGCTCCACAGATCGACCTCGTATTGCGCATGCGTAATTCTAAGCGCGAGCTGAACGACATCCGGTTCGAATTCTCGGCCGGCAAGGATTCCGCCGACGGCATCGCCACGGAGCTGGTGGGTGCGGGGCTGGTGGAGGCGCGGGACGCCGCGTGCATCGCCCGACACCTCCAGCGGCTGGTGGACGCGCGCCTGTTCCCCGGCTCGGCGCCCCCGCCGCGCTCGCTCACCTTCCGGCTGGACTCTGCGGACCCGGCCGCGCCCTCCGACGAGAGCACGCTGCTCGGGTTCGCGCAGATCTCTGTAGTGGACTAAGCGCCGCCGCGCCGCAACCTGACGACCCGCCACGACGGATCCCATTAGCTCTTTAATGTAACGTAGTTCGATCGAATGAAATGTGAGTTTCGCGATCCGTTTGGGTCGTGTGGGAGTGAATCTGAATTTGTAAAAATTTGTGATAGTATTCTGTCGATTTTAGTCGCTTCGTTATTGAACATTGTATTCGATTGTATTGTTTTGCTCATAATTTTATTTTGTAAAGTTTATTATTTTATAGTTTAGCTGGATAAGATCTTGTGTAATGTCAGAAAGTCTTACGGCGCATAAGTACTTTTGTCATCTAAACACGGTCATTTTTCATTTGAACTACCGCCGCCCCATCATCTTACAAGGCACGGGGACATTGTGGCCGTGTGGAGTGAAAAGGAGCTTAAACTTGCGCTATCCTGTATTATCATTGGTGGTAAAAAGCGACATAATGTATCCTATGTAAACGTTAGTGCCATATGAGTATGTTTCTTGTACACGATGAATAAACATTGGCCGTACAGTCGCTACGGCCTTGAATTTAAAATTTCAGGTTTCTATTGCACTATAAGACGGTATTTTACATTGTTATATTTTGTTTGTTGCTTATTTTGGAAGTATTTTAATAATAAAATAAAACATGATTTTATCGGCTGAATGTTTTATTGAAACAATATTTTTGTCCACATTTGACTAAAACTACCTTTCCACTACGAATATTTGACTCGAAACTGTTGACGTACATAATTTCTGAACGATTACAAATTTATTGTATTTGGCATCATACATAGGTCTGATAATTTATAAATAAATAATCTAACTTTACTTTGTATTCTTAGGACTACATTGAACTATGGACTTTAAGCGATGGCGGTACAAAAATAACTTACTGTTTCAGTTGCATTTCTGTAATAGCGACGCGGGTTGGTCCACAAAGAAAAATTTATACTCTCATCATTATTATTAGCTAACATTCGTATCTCTATGCTACAAAACATTTTTTCTCTCGTATTACTCTACTTCGCAGCGAAGTTGAAATATCAGTAGCTTTGTACAATATTCTAGATCAGCTTAATTGACATTTTCTTTAGATTTTTTTATTTATCCGCTAGTTCTTGCGTTAACTAACAAGCGCTATGAGATATGATTTATAACAAATTAAAAAATACTTGTACTTCAAACCGAAATTTAAACGTGAATAAGTCATGTTTAAGAAAATATTATTTTTCTTATAAAATATTGAAAGAAAAAGTCCAAGTAATTTTACTCTTAGACATTTCACTGTGAATAATTACACTAGGAAATTTTAGAACTTAAAATTTGTTGGAAATATATTATTTTAATAATATTGTAAGTAAAAAAATCGAAGATCAATATTAAATTTTTATCCATCTTCAAAATAACACCCTTTGCTAGGTTAAGTATTCGGTATTAAGTATGTACTGCATGAACATTACATCATTAAGGGTAAAAAGTAAGTAAAATAATAAAAATAATCGACAATTTCTAGCAGTTTCCTTATTTAAATTCTAATAATACATACATGATTAAACATTCTGAAATAGACTTACATGAGTAAAAAATTATGTTTAAAACTAAAATACAAATTGCTTTTCGTTACTTATAGCTTACTCTTGGATATACTTTTTTAAAATGTAACATTGACTAGGGAGGAAAAATTATTCTAATATCTAAAAATCTAGTAAGGCATGAACATTTTCCAAAGTAAGTACATTCAAATACAATAAAAATATATTTCAAAGGTTTAAAAATGAATCCTTTATTTTGTATAAAATTATAGCACAGCCAATGTGGAAAGACAGCGTGAAAAAAACAGGCTCTATTGCATCAACAAAGGATAACGTTATGTTGGATGGCGACTTGAGATCGATTTTTTATTAATACATTGATCAATGAATTAACAAATATCCTTTTTTATTGAAATGTTTAATCCGATTACTCGAAATTCCACTCTGACCCACATTACAATTGTATAACCAAATAAATTATTGAACAACTTTAAAAATTCTTATAAATTAAGCTCATTATTTGACTAGTAAGAACAACGTTATAATTCATAAAATTTAAAATAACTTGTGCTCTGTAATAACACTATATTTTTGCATTGTGCGTAATTGTGCATATTTTCAAAATACCTTCTGGATGGAAGACAAAACATTAATTATCGTGGAATGTTATAAAAAATTACAACATTTAGAGATTCTATTCGAACATTTTTAGTTGTCTTTTGTTCTTTGGAATAAATATAAACCATCACCATAAATTAACAAAAATAAATAAGTATAGCAAAAAATATATTTAACAAGCAACAATTATTAAATGTTAAATGTTCTTATCTTTTTAAATAGCCTAATTTTGTAAATAAATCAATTTGAGATTGCACAAATATGAAGGCACAGATAAAAGAAAAGTTACTTAACTTTTTAATTGTCAGATAAATTATAGATTAATTACTACACATTATTTACTCTTTTCTAAATGCTTTACATTAGGAACGAGAAATATACAAATCCATTGTGCTATAATGTGCTAAGCTTACCAATAAATTGTACTGTTAAAAGCGTATAGGCGTGACTTAATATCTAAATGACTTGTTATTATTATGATAATATTTCATTTTAAAATAAAATAAAAAAGAGATTCGTCATTATCGAAGAAATAGAAAAAAACACAGTAAGAATGAAAAGTTAATACTGAAAAAGGGAATGTGAGTATTTTAAAAGATGAAACTTTTATAACGTTTTTTTTTTGTTTTGTTTTGTTTAAAACTGTATAATAACATCGTTTAAAAACTACTAAATTCTAAATATAAACGTGTCCCAAAATTTGACACTTTAATTTCGTCGGGTTAATCTTTAAACGGCACAACGCGGTTCACGTTAAGTTCTACTGAGGATTCGACGCTTGCGACATATCATATTATGATATTAAAACAGTTCAACGACCTTTCTCTTGACGTATTCCTTGAGGGGCGCGTAGTAGTACCGGCGCAGCGCCACCATTTCCGGCTTGTGCTTGACGGCGCGCAGAAAACGCACGTCCGTCTCGAACAGCAGGAGTGCGAACATACCTAGCGACAGCCACACGAACAGGAACGACGGCACGAAGGCGCGCACGAGGCTGAAGGGGCGCGGCGCGGGGGGCGGGGGCGCCGCGGTGGGGGGCCGGCTCCACTCCTCGCCCTGAGACGGACCCGTCTGTGACGTCACGCCAGACTCGGACGACGAGTGCTCGAACGAGTCCCGCATCCCGTACTCGGACGGACATACTGCGCACACAGAGAACAAATCGTTTAACATTATGTACGACTATGTATTCAATCATTTATACAGTATCAATGTTAACACAATAAATAGAGGCAATGTCTATCTGACTTCTTTCAAAAACACAAAAGTATATACGGAACCCTAACAGTAAGTACCTTATCCCAAGTAAGTACCTTCAATGTTCACATGAATGTGTATGATTATAATACATGCAACACTATTTATTTATTTATTTTTGAAACCAAACAGTAAAAAGCAAACATATACTATTTTAAAAAGTTGCTAAAACAATAAACAAACAAGTTTCCATCATCAAAACCACATATAGGTAGAAAGTGAACCAAAGAATAAAATAGAGAAATTTAGAAATTTAAGTTTACACAAAAAACAAAATCAACACAGTATGCACATATGAGGCCCTCAGCGCAAAAGTGGCCTCAACTTACCTAATCTTACTATAGTAAGTATGGAGACAATGAGGTCTGAATTTACTTTTACACTGCCTCATATGCAAAAACAAAACCACAAAAATAATGTTGACAAAGCCATCTGTTATCTATGGGCGAAACTAGGGATAGGCCGGTTTTGCATCAATTTTTTTTTTTTTTTTAATATATTGCAATATAGTAGAACCACGAATATGAAAAAATGTAAGATAGGCCACTTTTGTGCTGACGGCCTCAAATATACATCAACTTACACTTTAAAACTTAATAATACTCATCTGACTAAATCAGTTTATAAATAATTCAAAATAGCATTTCTCTCTGTTACGTGTGACAAACAAAAGATGTCAGCATTACAGAACTTAGTATCATACAACTTACTATAATGATCATTTTTTAATTTAACTTGCTGAAATCAGTATCAGTATATACAGAATCAGTATATATACCCGAGTTAGTTTTTTTTATTGACATTGAAGGCAAACAAACTAACGGATCGGCTAATGGACATCACCTATTTTAGGGGGCACAGTCGAGCCCTACCTGCCGATAACTACACTTTTAAACCTAGTTTTAAGAAGGACATATCCTAAAGTTCAAGAGACGACGTTCATTTTAGAGTCCGATGGTAAGCAGTTATAATGATCTTAAACTGCGAGATGGAGATGAGGGGAAATTTCGTCGGGACTCCATTAACAGATAAGCTATCATCAGTACAAACATGTATGACGTAAAATAACTGAATAATGCATCGATATCAGAGTGTGGTCAAATGTGTTTTTGTAGTTTTTTTTTATCAACATTTTAGTGCGGTTCGTTCATAATGAGTTGAAGATAACCTTATTTTTATTTTGTATTTTTAAAGTATAGTGGTGGTGTATTATAAAAAGGTTTTAAACCGTCTCCACACGTTTTATTATTATTTTTTATTGCTTACGTGTGTGGACGAGCTCACAGCCCAACTGGTGTTAAGTGTTTACTGCAGACCATAGACATCTACAACGTAAATGCCGTCCGTCACCCACCTTGAGATACGAGTTCTAAGGTCTCAGTATAGTTTCAAGGGCTGCCCCGCCCTTCAAACCCAAATGCATTACTGCTTCACGGCAGAAATAGGCAGGGTGGTGGTGCCCACCCGTGCGGACTCACAAGAGGTCCTACCACCGGTAAAATTGCGTTGGGCGGTCCCTACGGTGCTCAATAGGAGCAACTGCTTCGCTTAAGCCAGCCGTCTTGCCCTAAACACGTCATTACGGGTCCTCCTGATCCATTAACGGTGCTTTTAGGTACCTCAAGGACCGGTCACCGTTCTCACCGAACCCGTCGCTCGCGACGAAGGGCTTGGCAAGTAAATTAACCCATAGACACAGCCCACTGAGTTTCTCGCCGGATCTTCTCAGTGGGTCGCGTTTCCGATCCGGTCGTAGATTCTGCGAAGCACTGCTCTTGCTAGGGTTAGTGTTACACTTCGGTTTGCACCGTGAGCTCACCCACACGTCAAGCTGAAGTAGCCTCTCAAGGCTATCAGCATAAGTAGAGAAAAAATAATTAAGTCGGGTACATAAGGGTAAGATCGGGTACCGACCGGCGGGCTTGTCGGCGGGTGCGCGCTCGCAACACGCCAGCGCGAGGTGCGCGGCGCCGTCCCCGCTCTCCTCCAGCGGCGCGCTGTGCGTCGAGCGCGGCAGACTGCTGTACCCTGGGAACACGCAACAACCGAGACTCTTACTACCACTGCCCAGGTGAACACGAATTACATAATCGCAAACAAGCAGTCAAAAGGCATATTAATTAAATTATTTTTTTACTGGTTGTAGGAGCTCTTGTGAGTCCGCGCGGCTAGGTACCACCACTCTGCCTATTTCTGCTGTGAAGCAGTAATGCGTTTCGATTTGAAGGGTGGGGCACCCGTTGTAACTATACCTGAGACCTTAGAACTTTCGTCTCAAGGTGGATGGCGCATTTACGTTGTAGATGTCTATGGGCTCCAGAAACCACTTAACACTAGGTGGGCTGTGAGCTCGTCCACCAAGCAAGGCAATAAAAAAAAAAAACAAGCAGTCAGAAGGCATAATGATCAAATTAATACTATCGTTACACCGGTAAAGAGTAACGACATATTATATCGCTGAATAGTCGATCAAATATCGAAGGATTTAGTAGCGCCCAGAACGCTCGAGAAGTACAACGCCATCTATTGACAGATGGCGGAAACTACTACTAGATATGTGTAGAATATTTTCGATAATTCTAGGGATGAGGTATCGGCTATAAAAGCGTTGTAGAGATGGCACGCGGTCAGTCTGTAATCGGAACTACTCGAAGCGTAACAAGCGAATTGAGAGTTTTAAAGTGTTTGCTGGGTGTTTTAAAGTGTTTGTGAAATATTTTAAGTGTTGAATACAGCTTTTAAGTTGTACTTTGGTGAAATTTTATTTATCCCGAACCCCAGCGCGTAACACTATTCTAACAGCATTCTAAACAGACTTCCCACATGTCCACGGCACGAACGAAATATGCTTCTAACTCTTTTGTCCGTAGATCTTGTAGGTTGTATGATACTAAGTTCTCTGATGCTGACATCTTTTACTTGTCACTTGTAGCATATAGAAAAGCTATTTTGGAATATTTATAAGGAGATTTAGTCCCGATGAGTATTACTTAGTGTTATAGTGTGTAAGTTGATGTACATAATAATATGTGCGTATTGTGTTGCTTTTGTTTTTTTTGTGTAAACTTAAATTTCAAATTTTCTCTTCTCTGTTCACTTTCTACTTATATGTGATTTTGATGGCAGAAACTTGTTTGGTTATTGTGTAAGCTATTTTTTTAAATATTATGTTTGTATTGTACTGTTGGTTTCCCAAATAAATAATAAATAATAAAAAAATGATTTGAAGCCGTCGTGGCCTACAGGATAAGACGTCCGGTGCATTCGTATCTAGCGATGCACCGGTGATCGAATCCCGCAGGCGCGTATCCATTTTTCTAATGAAATACGTACTTAACAAATGTTCACGATTGACTTCCACGATGAAAGAATAACATCGTGTCATAAAAACCAAACCCACAAAATTATAATTTGCGTAATTACTGGCGGTAGGACGTCTTGTGAGTCCGCACGGGTAGGTACCACCGCCCTGCCTATTTCTGGTAATAAACTCACCAAAGTCCCCAGTCATCGGCGTAGACGGAGTCGCTGGTACGCTCGAAGCTTTCCTCTTTCCTCCAGCACTGGAGCCTTCTTCCTGAAAATCGGTATATGTGTATATAGTTTTAAATCCTCATAATATTATGAACACCTTTAACAGGTATTTACAAGGACTTTTGTTTTACTAAGTTCCCGATACTTGGACGGTGCTGCAAATCATGATCACGGGCAGACTGAAGACTGGGTAGGATCTTAAGAGCAGACATACCTGTCTGCCCTCTTCCGGGCCCTTTTTTTCAGAGATACCACTGGAACGACGACCGACGATTCGCCCCAACAATACATATCCAATTAAGGTATACACAGATTTTTCAGAATACCCAAAAAGCATTTAAATCAAAAGAATTTTCTTAAGATACTCTTAAATAACAGTATTTACTATGTCTATATTGTATTATTTAACATATGAAGTAATTTTGACAAATATGTTAGGTAAATCATGCATAATTTTTTTTTATCTATTTAATTTTAAGAGAAAATTACTAAGTTTTTATTTTATTTTTTTATTGCCCTTGTAGGCAGACGAGCATACGGCCCACCTGATGGTGAGTGGTTACCATCACCCATGGACTTCAACAATGCCAGGGGCAGAACCAAGCTGCTGCCTACCGCTTAATACTCTCCACAAGCCCAGTGCTCTAAAACTGGGTTGCTATAGAGTGTTTCTGCAAATATATTTTTAATTATACTACTTAGTCTGGCCATAAATACTGTTACAATTAAAAATAAACAAAATATTATATTTGAATTTGGAATCTGTCATTTTTATATGATTGCTCATTGGTTTTCTCATTTTGGCGCCAAAACATTGTACAATATTTTGCGATATTAGAATGGAGTGGGGTGATAAAGAGAACCGAATCGCTTGATTGCATTACACAAATTAAGTATGGAGCCAAATGCAATTTTTAAAACTCTCCATACGCTTGGTATTAGTAAAATGTTTGTGTACCGGGCTATTGATAGGTGCAATGAGACCTCCTCTGTTTGTGACAGAAAAAGATCTGGCCGTTCACGTAGTGTTCGTACGAAAAAGGTAGTCAACGCGGTAAGGGAAAGAATTCGAAGAAATCTTGTCCGAAAGCAAAAGATTTTATCTCGGGAGATGAAGATAGCACTTAGAACCATGTCGTGTACTTTAAAAGATGACTTAGGACTTGCAGCCTATAAGAGACGTACTGGTCATTTCTTAACTGATAATTTAAAAGAGAATAGGGTGGTAAAATCGAAACAACTACTGAAGCGGTATGCAAAGGGAGGTCATAGAAAATTTTTGTTTACGGATGAGAAAAGTTTTACAATTGAGCAACATTTTAACAAACAAAATGACCGTATTTATGTTCAAAGCTCTAAGGAAGCTTCCCAATTAGTCGACAGAGTGCAACGTGGGCACTATCCGACTTCAGTGATGGTTTGGTGGGGTATTAGCTATGAAGAAGTGACTGAGCCATACTTTTGTGAAAAAGGTATCAAAACATCGACACAAGTGTATCAAGATACCATTCTTGAGAAGGTAGTAAAGCCCCTTAACAACACCATGTTCAATAATCAAGAATGGTTCTTCCAGCAAGACTCGGCGCCAGGTCATAAAGCTCGGTCTACGCAATCTTGGTTGGAAACGAACGTTTCGGACTTCATCAGAACTGAAGACTGGCCGTCGTCTAGTCCCGATCTTAATCCGCTGGATTATGATTTATGGTCAGTTTTACAGAGTACGGCTTGCTCTAAACGCCATAATAATTTGGAGTCCCTAAAACAATCCGTACGATTGGCAGTGAAAATTTTTCCCATGGAAAGAGTGCGTGCTTCTATTAATAACTGGCCTCAACGTTTAAAGAACTGTATTGCAGCCAATGGAGACCACTTTGAATAAGCTTTTTATACTTTAAATTGTTTTATATTTATGTTTTAAACTAACACACTGTAAAAGTAATAAATGTTATTTGCAATAGAAATTTTTGTTTTTTCCTTTGTCTCAGTATTTATGGCAAGACTAGGTATATTCCAGAGTAGGACCATTAGTATGTTCGTTTTTGTAAAGTACAGACTGAAATTTATATATAAAATTATTTTTCTTTTTAATTCCATCTATGCTAAATTCACTATTTCACTATACTAAAAAGAGGCAAACATACATCTATATGATTTTGTCTCTCATTTTTAGAATGAGATAGAACACTTCTGAAAGTTTCACTTCAAACCGCACACATGCTTTCTCGTAAGTTACGACTATTATAATGTTATAGATTTTTAAGTTATTTTTATTTATTTATATCTTCACAGTGATTATTGACAATACAATAATACTTACGCTTTTAAACAGTTAATACCGTGTCATTGAATTGTAAAGCAAAAAAATATAAATTTTAACAACATAGGGAGAAAGAGTTGCACACGGGGTTTGCTAGAAATGGAACCTTGAAATTTGACTTCAAAATCTGTTTGTTTGTACCTGAGGCTCCCTCGGTGCCAGGAGGCCGTCCCTCTCGAGGATCTCCCTCTCTGTCCGCCCCACGTACTTAAATTTCGTTCCCCACGAGAACAGTCCCCCGCCAGAGTACACGCACGCTTCCGACGATGACGACAAACTGTATTACCACACCATTACCATTACCACACCAATCAAATTTAACATGACGTTTCTACATACAGACATACATTTTAAAACGTGTTCTATGCGTGTAAAATGGAGGGAATAATGTAATAAAACCTATGTTTTACCGGTGGTGAGAGTCTTGTGAGCCCTCACGGGTAAGTACGACCACCTTACGCATATCTGCCGCGAAGCAGTGATGCCGTTATACCAAGCAATCTCAGAGACTCAGACCTCAAGAAGGATGGTGGCATTTACGATGTCTATGTATCTACTCCACACTTACAGTAAAGTAGTCAGTGAACTCATCTGTTCGTAAATAGTTATTATAAAAAATATTCTATTAATACTTGGGATAGGATCGTCCTATGCTAAATATGACTAAGCCGATTGTAGACCAAACGCAAAGCAAAATTATTACATTTTTAAATTGACTCGTGGCTGATACTAAAACGAATCCCCAAGTGATAATATAGATACAAATAAAACACTTTTACTCATTTAAAGTCGTTTGAAAGCAAAAAAATATATAATAATTAAAAAAAACATGGTATCAGTTGTTATAAATATTTTATGAACAGATATGAGTAGAAGGTTTATTTTGATAATATCCCGAAAAACAACCCACGCTTTTTTTACAATAAAATCATATTTCCTTACACTATTTTTAATTCAATTTTTTTTAATTTATTTTCTATTTTTTAGTTGCATTTTCTATAAAAGCGTATTTTGTTAGTTTTTTTAAACTATTATTTATTTTACATTTTTTAGTTGTATTTCTATATGTTTTTTAATATTGAAATGTCATCGGTCCTTACTAAGTATACCAAAATTTCGAGTTAATCCGACGTTTTGAAGGGGATCAAAACCATGTTCAAAGATTCCGTTACATATTAACATACTAACATACATACATCTGAAGCTAATAAAACCGTATTAAAAAATATTCATGACTATTTAACGTAGTCTAAAGATTGTCAAAATACATCATTATTTGTAAGGCACGTTAAAGACAAAATTCAAAGTGTAGGTAGGTACTCACGTGAAGAACAGCATCTGCTCTATGGCACAGCACCAGACGTGACGACAAGCCGCCCCGCTCGGGCACTTGAAGCCGACCGTGTGTTTTTTCTGAAACATCATTACGAGGGGTGAAAGGTTTAAGCGATATTATTGCAACTTTACAGGAGACTGGAGAACTATTAAAACTTTAGGAAAAAATATGATAACAAAAATAACTTCTTCAGCTGTTTAAATATAGATGTTCACCTATTGAAGTTCGATTAAAAACATCGTATTATTGATGCTAATCTTCTTTTTCCCCACCTTAACCCACTATTTCGGCTCCGCACAGCTAATCTTTCTCTTCCATTCTCTTCTATCAGCCGTCATCTAAACACTCACTCCTCTCTCTCTCTCTCATACCATCATTCACACACTCCATCCATGTCTTCTTCGGTCGACCTCTTCCCTATCTACCTTGCAGTACCATTTCCATATATCTCCTAGTCAAATGCATTCTTGATGCTAATATCCAAATACAACGCAACTTTAATTACAAAGATAAATGTCGCGTATTAAACAAAATGTCGCTTAAAGCAATAACCTCACCCCTCGATTAGAACTGGTTATTATGAAATAAAATCGCTAGTCAATTAAGGGCAGTAAACTTTTTTAATCGACTTTCGAGGCATTAGGTCGTTGTCTCAATTGCATTAATTATGACTGCGGCAAAGACAAGCAGTAGAGCGACACTTGTACGAGCTCACATTTTTCCTTACCGCCAGTTATGTCTTTCTTTTTTTTTTCAAAGACACTTTTATTAGATGACCTTTAACTATGTATGTAACGGCGTAATTCAACTTAATATTCATTAACTTATTGTTTTACCCTACCAGCGGTAGCCAAACGGGTTATTCCAGCTATGCGCAGACTGGTAAGTGAGCTCACGGACTCAACCAGAAAGAATTTACTAACACTAGCCCTAGCAGTGCCTCACAGAAACTACTACCGGATCGGAATCGCGACCCACGGAGAAGATCTGGCGAGAAACTTAGTGGGTTGTATCTAGGGGTTAGTTCGAACTTTTCTTCGTAATCGACAAATTCTACGAGGACGGTGACCGGTGCCGGTGCTTGAAGAGCCTAAAAGTGTCGGATCCCCGGATTCACCGAGAGTGAATCCGGGGATCCGACATGACACGTCTCAGGCGACCGACGGCGGCTTTGTATTGCCTCATCGTCTAGGTCAGATCTAGTCAACGTCAAGACGTCCAATTTAACGTGAAAATTAGGACACGTATCAAACACTGCTGAAATTTTTATATATACATATTTAGTACTAGCTGAGTCCCGCGATGTTACCCGCGGTTATTGTCGTACCGCGGTTGAGGGCACGGGGCGAAGCTAGTCTAAAAAAAGTAGCCTAAGTTACTCCTTATATCATCAGCTATCTATCAGTGAAAGTCCCGTCAAAACCGGTCTAGCCGCAATATTTCAAAATATGAGTTATTCTCTTTTTTTCAGACGCTCATGAGTTATCGGTACTTTATTGTTTCAACTATCCAAACAATGCATAGCGAATAAACGAAACAAATTAACATCATAAAAGATGAAAGCAAACTACGAAGATATATTGGAAGTTTATGATCATAATATTTAGTTTTAAGCTCTTAACAGAATATTTACGATTTATTAATTCTAGTTGCTTTATTTTAAAATGTAATAGATTTTTAATGAAATCAGCTTTAATAGAGGTAAACCTGTCGTAATTTGAATTCCTGTAGGATAATAATCTAAATTTCTTCAATCATTTTACGAATGGAATCATAAACAATTTATTGATACTTTAAAAATATAATTAAAATTACTGTCGATGCACGGACATAGACGATCGCGCGGCGCGGGCGCCGGGAGGAGGACAGCGGCGTGGGGTAGCGGATTTACACCGGCTTCGTCACTTCGTGCAGCAACGCCGGCGCCGCCCGCGACACTTACTTGTTTTCATCTTGTTTTACTCTTTTTATAAACTTACCAAATAATACAGTCCACTCTTTTATTTTATATATCACCGGTCTACCCCAGAGCAGTTCGTAGCAATTACTTTTACGGTTTACTCTCTTACTACTACTACTACTACGTTATCGATTTTGATATTATATTATTTTTGACGTTTCGAGTTTTCGTGGGCACGGACTCGCAGTAATGAAAATAGTAAAAGCGAGATTAAGCCTTAAATAATTTTTAATTAGTAGAAGACGCTACAACATTAAAAATAATTTCAAACGACCCGAGAAATCACAGATCAAACATACACAATAACGTTAATGTGAAAAAGCATTTAACGTTGACTTAACATGACTCAATTGAGCAAAGTGATTCATAACACTATCCATCAATATCCTTGCGCAATATTGTGGCATTTCCTGACATCATCTTTATTGAATACTAGTTGTTATGGGTAGGCCTCCCACAAAATGGACCGACGACCTATTGAACTTCGCGGGAATCCGCTGGATGCAAGCAGCGCAGGACCGATCTTTGTGGCAAGGCTTGGGGGAGGCCTATATCCAGCCGTGTATAATATAATATGTATAATAGTATCAGTGTAGTTTCCCGTCGGAATGAGATGTTTAATCGGGATTAAAGGTAGCCTACGTCGTCTCCTAACTTAATACTATCACTACAAAAAATCATGTTAATCCTTTGCTCCGTTACGACATGAAAAGAGGACAAACAAATAAACACACTTGCACTTTTATAATATAAGAAAAGGATTGCTCTAAATGTGAGCGCAGTCCACCATTAAGTGGTTACAAAAGTTTATGGATATCAAGATGTGGATGATCACATACAGGGGCTCTAGTCTCGACTTTATTGTATAACAGCTGTGGGCTCTTCAAAAGACACCGATCGCTGTTTCGCGTCTAAAATACACATAATGACTGCACCCACTACACACAAGCGCTGTGGCGGTAGCTATCATACAACACATAAATGACAGATGCCTGAATCACGCCTACATTTAGCCCACTGAGTTTCTGGCCGGATCTTCTCAGTGGGTCGCATTTTCGATCCGGTAGTAGATTCTGCGAAGCACTGCTCTTGCTAGGGCTAGTGTTAGCAAAGTCGTCAGGTTAGAGCCCCGTGAGCTCATCTACTTGCTCGGAGAATCTAGTATAATTCCTCAAGATTATTAGAATAGGTAGGAAAAAAAAGAAAAAAGTTTACATTTTCAAAATAAGCTTGCATAATACATACAAGTTACGAACAACAAAATTTGGACCGTCGCGTCGGTCTACAGAGCAATATCACCCGCTTGTTGAAATTAATTTTTTTTTTTTTATACTTTCTATGTTTCAAAACAAATCAAACAGATCCATTATATTATTTAATTTTTAAAAATTACTTTGGTCTGCAATAATGCATTATCTGCTATATTCGTAGATTCCAGAACTTATTCGATCGCTAGACGTAAGTATCTACCAAATCGAAAATTAGATAAGATTATATTCTACGTCATACAAACAAATTTCCTTACATTAATTAATGTTGGGAAAGATGTTGCAATATTCATGCGTTATTTCACAAGTACAAGTAGATAAGGATTTCGTTGCGAAACATATTGTAATGTAAATTACTATTTACTGCATATTGTTTATTGTCTAATTTTATTGCAATGAGGGTACTCCCGATCTCTACTCTGACTGACCCGTGTCCGGTGCTATCTAATACTGTCTATGGATGTCTATAAAATCGTCAGTCCGAACACTTGCCAAGCCAAGACCAAGCCGACCTTGAAATTCTGGCGTAAGCCAATCGTTTAAGCTTACACGGGTAACTACCACTGAAGATTTCGATGTGCAACCTAACCCACAAATACACTTATTTTCTTGCCGGATCTTCACAGCGGTTCGCGATTCGAATCCGGTAGTACATGCATTCACAAAGCAACTGCCCTTGAGCTATTAGGTCTCCTTCGGAGACGCTCGAACAGTACTTAGCAAATCCTACCCCCCGGCTGACCCCGTGCTCTCTAACCTATTCTAGTGAAACTAGAAAGGCCACCGGGCCACCAATAAAACCTGCTACCAAAAATTCTCCAAATGGTTGCTTAACTTTTAAAATACTGTATTACCCCAAAATAACTCCCACCATTTCTAAAATGACAAACGTTGTGGAACTACGGATATAATAGTCGATATAAAGTCATTTTTAATATATATTTCCAAAAATAACAGGGATTTTTTTCGATATTTAAAAGGTCTGACAATGTTCTTTTTTAAATCTGTAATTTAGGTTTGAAAAAAAATATTATGTAGAAATTACTGACATATTTTTGTCAGAACTTGAAATTTTTAATTAGGTACCTTTCAATCGTTTTAGATGACCTTAACATCGCACACGGTAGCGCTGACCTTTCCATTAACTAAATCTAATTACAACACACACAATATAATGTCACGCATTGTTTTTCTTTGAATACCAGTAGTGATATTTCATAATTAATTGCATTGTTAATAAGTACTGTATGAATAACATTGGATCTTTATTTTACCTTGTTTGGGTGCATCCTGGGATACAGGAAAAATTTAATCGCGAAGTCGAAGGACACATGCTAATAGTGGTGACCGTCACAAAAAATAACATGTTACAAATGCTTACCCGCGCTTTTAACTTTTTGCTAAGATTTAATAATATACTTCTTTTTTTTTTATTGCTTAAATGGATGGAAGTTTAACGACAAAGAGAAGATAATCCACCGAATCGGTGTAATTGCGCAATAGGCGACGCGACGGTCCGAACTTTGTGGTTCGGAAGTTGTTCATGTGCGCGTGCAACTTGCTGCGTGTAACACGTGAAAGAAGTGAAACTTCTTTTGCGGTGTGTAGTATTGTGGTTTTCTTAATTTTTCATCCTAAATCAAATTTCTCTTGTAATAGGGAATGCTATATATAAGAGAAATGACCTAGCTCGCTTTGTAAAGGACAAACCCTCTCTTAACGGTCAAGTGGCTCTTGAAACGCTGTTGTGTTTTTATGATGGTTACGGCCACAAGCAACTAAGTATCCATGCTTGACTCTCAATAAATGATTATTCATTATCGGTCTATGTTAAGGCACATCCTTATATTCTAATCGAATTCGGAAATAGTTCCTGTACGCACATTGAAGTCGTCAAGGCTTGCGAGATAAGACGCCCGGTGCGTTCGAGCGATGCAATAATGTCGGTGTTCGAATCCCGCAGACAAGTGCCAATTTTTCTAATCAAATATCTACTCAACAAATGTTCAGAAGTAACTTCCATGGTGAAGGAAGGATGAATGATGAAGAATGCAATTAAAATGGAACCCGCAAAAAATATATCATTTGCGTAAATACTGGAGGTAGGACGTCTTGTGAGCCCGTATGGTAGGTTCCATCACGCTGCCTATTTCTGCCGTGAAGCAGTAACGCGTTTCTGTTGATAGGTGGGGCAGCTGTTTTACTTAAAAATTTACTGTAGATTTACTGTAGTAAAACTGGCACAAAGAAATTATGCTCATTTCTGCCACAAAACCCTACTATTAATAGTGTTGAATTCAAGATATTAATTTAACAAGACTCTTACCTCTGGGTAATTCAAGTGAACAATAAACATTCTCCCCTCAAAGTTGATCTTGTGAACTTCTGACCATTTGAAGTGATTTGTTTTCCTACTGCCTTGAAATGTTAATATGCCACTGTGGTTGATACCTAAATATAGCTGGTTTCCTCTGTGATCCTAAAGCAAATAGAATTATTATAATAATTAATATATTTAATTAATTTGCACATGTCTCATATTTGCAGAACTTCATACACTTTGATTAACAAGATTCTAAGTTATATTTATAAGAAAAACAAATTATGAAGTAAGTTACCTTAACTGGATGCGGGTCCACTCCATAAGTATCAAGTTGACAAGCAATCTTTAGGAATGTTCTTTCGGCTTCTTCAGTTGACATACCCTTAACTCCTCCACCACCAATGGGTGTGCCTTCCAATGGTTCCCTGTGTAGTTCCTAGCAAAAGAAATTTAATTTAAATATAAATAAATAATGAAAACAACAAGGGTGACATATAGCAAGTCAGTGAACCACCATCACTGCCAAGTTTTATACCGGCTACCAGAACAAATCAAAGAATTAGAGTTAAGTAGAATAAGTTAGATATAAGTCCTCAGCTTAGCAGTGTACATAGTTTCTCCTAAAATAACAACCAATCATGCCCACTGAGCTAAAGTGATCCTTTACATCAATTATTTCCATAAAATTTGTAATATAGCAAATTTAAAACAGTTTTATTAATTCACATACCTGTATCCTACCTTCAATTGCATCTGTTTGTCTCAATAACAATCTCATTTCGCTCACATAATTACCAATGTGGATAGTTGAATCATAGTCTCCCAATTCAACTGGAATATTTTTGTTTCAATGTTATTATATTTCAGTATTATTATAATTTTTGTATTATACTTTTTTAATGACTTGCACCAGTAGATGCGTGTATTGTGTCTGTCTGTACGCTCACAATATACCCTACCACCAGTAATTAGAACATAAACAGGACAAGCTAATAAAGGTTTCATCTAAATAATTTCTTGATTCTAATATAAACTTAAACTACTTACACTGAGATAAAAACAATATCACCACAGCCAGAATAAAATAAAATAAATGCTTTTATCAATAAAAGACTATGAAGAAGAAAATAATGATCTTAAAATATTTATACTCTAGCATACTTTGAATGATGAGAGCTCCAAGCATGGCAGCTTCATTGGCTGTACAGTACAACCTGCCATGAAGTAGATCCCGCTTCAATTGCAAATATATTTGGAATCTAGTCACATCTTCCTTTAGTAGTAAAGGATTAGGTGGATAGAACTTCACTCGAAAACTGAACAATATAGGCGAAGCATCTGAAAATTAAATAGAATGCCTGAACAGTTATCTTAATAGTTTATAGTAGGTTTATACTATTGCAAACTGTTTATAAGTTTATTATTATTATTTATTATATGTATTATATCTAAAATAATGAATACCTTTGACTTGTTTGAGGATGAGTTTAGCCATGTGTAGCCAGTGCTGAAAGCGAAAAAATATCTATGAGCATTCCCAATTTTTGGTTCCGGTCTTATGAGTTTAATATATTGGAAACTTACTCTCTGTCCACTTGCGTCCACATATCTTAAACCAAAGTAGTCAGACTCTGTGAGATTCAATTGTTGACACACATGTTCTAGCAGAGACTTACCCTTAAAACTAGGCTGAAATATCAATTAATTCTCAGTTAATCGAAAAACAAATAAATGAAACAATTGTAAGATAGAACTTACATGAAATTCACATTCTAAAATTTCAGTATCCTCTAAAAGTCGCACAGTGCATTTATAAACAATATCTCCACGGCTTTTAAACATTTTTCACTTTTTTTGTTTATAACACACTAGCTTAGTTTATTTAGGAGTTGGGAAACTTTTAAACCCTAAATATAACGTGAGTTACATTCAATTTCGATTTTATTTTCTCTTTTATTTCGCATTTCGATTCGATTCACTTTTGGTTTGTTTCAGTCAGAATAATAAAATTGGAGAGTAGAAGTCCCATATTAGTAAATAATCTGTGATACCACCTATAGTGAGGTTCAATTTCTACCCGTAGAGTATACCTAACTAACGAACTATATTATTGGAAACAAGCAAACTGACACAAAACTAGTGTAGTTACGATACAGTATTAAAAACTCGGATGTAATTTTTACGGAGCGGTTGTGCTGTTCGGCTGTTCCGTCACTGTCATTCACAGACTAAAATGTCTGATGTCAGTAATAAAAATTATGAACAATTTGTGAACTTAGGATTGAGTATGTACAAACGATTGGAATCAAATTATGTATGTAGTTGTTAAATTTTTTATTATGAATACGAAAAAAATGAGAAACTCCTCATTGAAGTAAGGTCTAACTTCATATTTTATTAATTAAACATTATCTTATACGTAGTAAGTTTAAGTATAAAGTAGGGTGAAAAAATCCATGAGATCGCAAAAGCATAAAACTTTTTGTCGAATTTAATAATATACTGGCCTGTAAAAAATGACTTTAAAAAGATAAATCTCATAAAAGTATGGAATTAAACGACAAAATTAAAATCCAATTTAGGGTATTTTAGTGGGGCTGCATCGGCAAGTAGTGCCCTCATGCCTGTGTTATTTTGGTAATGGTCAATAACGGTTCAGGGCGTTATCGGAAGCTCGCGACTGAACTTAAAAAGTAAAAATAACGGAGCTTTTTCTGTTGCGAAGCAGCCATGCCTTTACGTTTACAGGAAGAGTAGCCATTAAAAACTACAATTTGGATATGAAATTCTGTCAACTACTCAAAATTTGGTGAAGCGTGAGTTTCTCTGCTAAACCACAACGAGGACGACCGTTTACGTAGATAGTTTTTCAGCATATGGTCATTCTATAGCTGCTTTATGTATTATAGATTAATATTCTCTCTACCTCATAGGTGTTGATTGAACAAAAATAAAAATACTATTATAGTTTTCATTTACTGTAAGAATTTATTTTCCTAATTTGATTTTAAATGAAGTGTGAATTCTCAAACAATATTACTTTAATATTTATACATATTATTAGTCTATTTGCAACATTTATTTTAAGTGACCAAATAAATAAGTACATGAACAATAAATTTCATTCAAACGATTGGAATCTTAAGTCTCTGTTAGATCTTTTCAATATTGATTATTTTCTGTAATGGGCTAATCAGCTAATACTATGATCATTTCCGAACGTTTCGCAGCGATGGTGCGTCATTTCCGTGCCAATTAAATAAAATTAATGTTACAAGAAAAGAGGAACTTCCCCAGCTTTATGAAGAAACCTCAAAAATGTTTCAATCAGATTTTTAGTAAGATTTGTGTAGTTCAATACACGAAAAACAGGAAATCGAATAAATTTGCAGTACATAAATAATAAAATAAATTTATAGGTGAAAAGATTGCATTTGGAATGTCACATCACATTGAATGTTAAAATACCACGTGAAACCGCTTTCCAAAAACCAAAAACCAAAATTCATGCAATTCTAACAATCATTAAATAAAGAATTGATATGTTTCTGAACTTGAAAAAGACCGATCAATTTTTAACAGAAACAATTTGAAGGTTTTTTAGAGTAATTTTCTAGCAACATTTCAGAACGGAAGTGACTGTTCGAGCACTGTTCAGCTGGAAGAAAGAGCATTTCTCGTCCATTCTGTTGGAGTCTATCTCGGATATTACACGCAGATTGTAATCCGTGGTGAGTGTCAAAAGAAATTGTTTTGTGAAGTGAAAAAGTGAAATCAATATACCCATAACTCCGTAAGCAAGCATAACTTCTTTTAGATTTAATCTTCTTGTAACTAATTGTGTGAAATAGTAAGATTAGCCGAACACATTTCAGATCACGTTTATTACTGAACTGATTAATGAGTGTCCACGTTGTCATTTAACAATTATTTCAATTGTTTAATAAATTCTCTTACTATTTTAAATGTAGAATGCAATATGGTTATGCTTACGCGTCACACATAGTGCCAACCGGCTTAACCCACCACGTGGTTGACATTGCATTATTTCTTTTTAATCTCTGCAAAGTTATCGAAGTTTATATTTGCATCATTATTGTAGTTCTCTATTTGTAATTTCTCGGCAATCACAACGTTGCTCGAATTTTTTTAATGAAATGGCCGACATCTTTTGTTAAATGTCAAGATAGGGCGAGGCGGCCATGCGGCAGCCATATTGCCGGTCTCTTAGTACACGAAGACGACCTTGCGAACGCCGGTTTGCATCTCAATCATGCGATTTTTGTCTTCATACTACAATTTAATTTACTTTGTTTTAGACTAACCAAAAATGGGCAAGGAAAAGACTCACATTAACATTGTCGTCATCGGACACGTCGACTCCGGCAAGTCCACCACCACTGGTCACTTGATCTACAAATGTGGTGGTATTGACAAACGTACCATCGAGAAGTTCGAGAAGGAGGCCCAGGAAATGGGTAAAGGATCCTTCAAATATGCTTGGGTATNTTTAATTTACTTTGTTTTAGACTAACCAAAAATGGGCAAGGAAAAGACTCACATTAACATTGTCGTCATCGGACACGTCGACTCCGGCAAGTCCACCACCACTGGTCACTTGATCTACAAATGTGGTGGTATTGACAAACGTACCATCGAGAAGTTCGAGAAGGAGGCCCAGGAAATGGGTAAAGGATCCTTCAAATATGCTTGGGTATTGGACAAACTAAAGGCTGAGCGTGAGCGTGGTATCACAATCGATATTGCTCTCTGGAAGTTCGAAACTAGCAAGTACTATGTTACCATCATTGATGCTCCTGGACACAGAGATTTCATCAAGAACATGATCACAGGAACCTCTCAGGCTGATTGCGCTGTGCTCATCGTAGCTGCCGGTACCGGTGAATTCGAAGCTGGTATCTCTAAGAACGGTCAAACCCGTGAGCATGCCTTGCTCGCTTTCACCCTCGGTGTCAAACAGCTCATCGTAGGAGTAAACAAAATGGATTCCACTGAACCACCATACAGTGAGCCCAGATTTGAGGAAATCAAGAAGGAAGTATCCTCATACATCAAGAAGATTGGCTACAACCCAGCTGCTGTCGCTTTCGTGCCCATTTCTGGATGGCACGGAGACAACATGTTGGAGCCTTCAACCAAAATGCCTTGGTTCAAGGGATGGCAGGTGGAGCGTAAGGAAGGCAAAGCTGACGGAAAATGCCTCATTGAAGCTCTCGATGCCATCCTGCCACCTGCCCGCCCCACTGACAAGCCCCTGCGTCTTCCCCTGCAAGACGTATACAAAATCGGTGGTATTGGTACCGTGCCCGTCGGCAGAGTTGAAACTGGTGTGTTGAAACCAGGTACCATTGTTGTCTTTGCCCCCGCCAACATCACTACTGAAGTCAAGTCTGTGGAGATGCACCACGAAGCTCTCCAAGAAGCTGTACCTGGAGACAATGTAGGTTTCAACGTAAAGAACGTGTCCGTCAAGGAATTGCGTCGTGGTTATGTTGCTGGTGACTCCAAAAACAACCCACCTAAGGGTGCTGCAGATTTTACAGCTCAAGTCATTGTGCTTAACCATCCTGGTCAAATCTCAAACGGTTACACACCAGTCTTGGATTGCCACACTGCCCACATTGCCTGCAAATTTGCAGAAATCAAAGAAAAAGTTGACCGTCGTACTGGTAAATCTACTGAAGTCAACCCAAAATCCATCAAGTCTGGAGATGCAGCCATTGTCAACTTGGTACCTTCCAAGCCTCTATGTGTAGAGTCCTTCCAGGAATTCCCACCCCTCGGTCGTTTTGCTGTCCGTGACATGAGGCAGACAGTTGCTGTCGGAGTCATCAAGGCTGTCAACTTCAAGGAGGCTGGTGGTGGCAAGGTCACTAAAGCTGCCGAAAAGGCCACCAAGGGCAAGAAGTAGCTAGAGCTGTTAACAGCACAATTTTTCATACAACTGCGATACTTCATTCACCGAAAGGTGTTTCGAAGGAAAAAAGGGCTACAAACTCATTCCTTTTCTATATTTTTTACAAGGCTTGTAATGTAACATTATTTTATAATTTATATAAGGTTATACATAATATATCTGAAACATTTTGTTATGACTGCAAACTAAAGTGTAAATTCATAGAATAAAGGTAGCCTCCAGTACTATTTGTATTATTTTGCACCTGCTTAAATTTAGATCTAAAATGTTACTGATTTATGAACAGGATTTAACTTTAATTTTAACTTGTAATTTTAATGAATTTTTAAACTTATTTGATCAATGGTTGAGCTATTTCCAAAAGCTGTTACCACTAATTCAAGTTTTATAACTGTTGATTTCTGAAGTTTTTTCAAGTTATAGTTTTGAAATTCCTACTTTTTTATGTCAAAAGCAAATAAAGAAGAAGGTTAGGTTAGAAAATAGCAGTCTTCGAAATGCTGACCTGATTTTATAGTTTCTTTTAAACATTGCTTTATTGAGATGCTCATTTTCATGCCAAAACAAAAAAGCGATCTTATTCGAATGTAAAACGAGCGATAACGAGAATTAAAGACACTTGTTAAAACTGAATGCAAAATTACTAAATTACTTTGCACGGAAAGCATTGCTGTTTTGATGCTGTTAAATGTTTCGTAGTTTATGATTTGTCCTTAGAGATGATTTAATAATTTTTAGTACAATTAGGTAGGTAGGTAGGTAGTTCGACCTATTAAAAGAAATTTCATAAAAGGGGCCAGGCTACAGAAACTAGTATTTGAAACAATGAAAATATCTCACTTGGCAGTGTTTCAAAAACTGTAGGAAATTAAAAAAAAAATTAAATCACTTATACATGAACCCGTAGCACAATTGTTATGTAGGTATCTAAATACGGGAGCTCATTGAAATCAGAGTGGATGTTTCATACGCCATGAAAAAATAGTCCCGGCTGCTCCGCCACAGAAAGGGCTCTTGATACGTATGAAAAAACTTGTTTTTCAATGTAGTGTTATCAAAATCAATCAAAGCCCTAGAGATATTAGAGATTTAGGTACTCTCATGCTGCCGGTTAGTCATCAAAATCATAAGATTGCAAAATGATTTTGTGCAATCTTATTGGTTAATATTTCTCGGTTTCTCCGCTCCGCTCCGGTGGACTGGCAGCCTTACACAGTATGCAATGATACCTAAGGTTAAATGAGTAAACATAAATCTAAATAAGTTTTAAATAAGAGTTCAGTAAATACTGCAACTAAACTCATTCTACTGCCGTGGTATGTTGTGAGTAAATCTAGAAAATGGATAATCGCCATAGTTCTAAGTAACGTTAGACTTGAGTTCTACTTTGATAGTGGTCGTGGAAGATGATAGTTTCATCACAATCAATTCTTTAAAACATTCAGTGCAAAATACAGAGGTGCTTATCTGAAGTCATCCTATAGATCCAGAGTTTGCATTGTTGTCAAATCAAATCAAATCAAATTTGATTTGTTGCAAAAGTATTGTAATTTTGATTGTAATTATCATTGTGATTTGTGGTGTCAGTGAGCTTCGGTAATCACTGACCAGCTACAGGGAGCTGAACTTGTTTACGCATCCAGTGTGAAACAAATATTTCATTTTGTCACAACTATCAGTAAGTTAGTTTATAGTTTTTACTGTGGATTTTGAAGATCAATTTGTTCTTGTTAATCAGTAAAATCCTTGATTACTTACATTTCACTTTACTCAAATTACAAGATGTAACAATTTATTTTATTATCGCTCCTATATTATTATATGAATTAGGGATTATGAAATTAAAACCAAAATATATGTTTTATTTTTCTAATGTTTATTTACATATCTATTCTATATACATAAGTCGAATGACACTACCGGCTAGGCAATCTAATATTTAATTAGTTTATATCCATCAATATGAGATTTGGGATGTCGAGATACTTGCTTTAGTTTCTTCCGTTTGCTCTTCATATTCTATGATTTTATTAGCCCATTTTTCAGCTACTTGATACCGCTTTCGTTTTACGTAAGGAGCGTAAAACATTCTATAAACAACGACGACACCAGAAGTAATTGCTACAGCCATAAGGACCTTGGCTAAAGGACTAGCTCCGCTTAGACGACTCATATTTTTAATTTATTTTTATTCTACCCTGTTTTCTGAAGTAGATTCTGCTAGTTTATTTTGTTCTTTAAAAAAATCTGCGAAAAGTGGTTTCCAAATATACACGCCGCCCAAGACACCGATTACTGATACCAAAATAATTTGACCTCTTGTTATTCCTGGTGGCTTATAAATACGCATTATACTAAGAATAAAGTAAACGGGTAATAACAGAATTTTGTAACATAATATTGTAACTTTTTACTCAATGTTTTTATTTCGTCAGAAAATTAATGCAATTTTGAGGTTATGTTTCGTCCATGTCAACAGGCAAGGAAACCCAGGCTCATAAAGGCTAGTTTATTTTAAAAAAGAAATTTTTCTTTAGCGTAATAATATATTGTTATACTTTTTTTACTGAGGTTGCTGGCGTCCCTTAGCCAATTCCACCAAAATGGATGTACCCAAAGACTCAGCTGGAATAGGAGGAGGTTGCTCCACGATTGCCTGAGCGCCTTCAAGGGGAGTCTAACAGCTTATGGGCAGTTGCTTCGTGAATGAATCGACCATGGGTCGGAATCGTGACCTACCAAGAAGATTCGGTGAATAACTCAATGAGCTAAAGCTATGGAATAAGTGTGGCATAGAAACTTTTTGACGAATACTGTGACTTGTACTTTGACTGTTAATTGCGTTAGAACCAATTTTTCTCAATTCGAAGAGAAGTATGAATAAACTTTTTAAAATTAGATCTAAACGGTTAACTTTGCGTCGCATTAACTCTCAATATTAAAAAAACTTTAAACTATCAGCTCGAGTAGCATAAAAGCATTACTCTGCCCAGGTCGACGAGTGCGGTTACCGGAGTCCCTAAGCCGGCTCCTAGTGTTAAAGGCGTCTAATGCAAGGGTTATTGGATCTGATGGATCCGTTTGTCGGTGCTCGCCGGGACGCCTTCCTGGGGGGACCTGGAAGCGGAGGCGCTTGCTGCAGATTACGCGTGGCGATGCGATCTCCGCTCCACGGAGGAACCGCGGCCCAGCACGGTGGAAGTTCTAGCGCAGAAGCATCAACCTCGGCGTGCCGCGCTCGAGGCGTGGTCTCACCTCCTGACGGACCCTGCCTACTGGCAACGGACCGTCGAGGCGATCCGCCCGGTCATCTCGGACTGAGTGAATCGCGACAGAGGACGTCTTATCTTCGCACTTACTTACGGGGTACTTACGGGACACGGCTGTTTCGGTCGCTACCCGCACCTCGTCGCCCGGAGGAAGCCAACGCTGAAGTGCCACCACCGCAACGGCTGTAACGAGACATGGCGGAGCACACGGTCGCGTACTGCCCTGCTTTCGCGGAGCAGCGCCGCATCCTCATTGTAAAATAGTATCGGACTTGTCGCTCCCGAACGTCACGGCTACGATGCTCGACAGCGACGAGTCCTGGCAGGCGATGCTCGACTTCTGCGAGTCCACCATCTCGCAGAATGAGGCGGCGAAACGGGAGAGGGAAAGCTCTTCTTCCCTGCTGCCGTGCTGCCGCTGCCAAGCCGGAGGGTGTTCATCCAGGTCCGGCCCCTGTGAGGAGGCAGTCTCATCCCGATGATGGTCATGGGGTGACCTGAGGGGATTGAGGCTGCGCCACGCGCTACCGTTACTCTAGCGCGCTGGCACCAGGAGGATGAGACGACGCGTCGTCGGCAGCGGTCCGCAATGTGGTCCACATTGCCGTCGTCGCTGTCGTCACCGAAAATACTGTGGCACAGTATTTGTACCGCGTTTGTTTGTATCGCGTTCCGACCCGGCAGGCTGGTTCTGATCCAGCGGGGTATCCCGGAACACTAGCTGCATCGCCCGGGTGGCCTGGTATGGTGGCCGTACCGAGGAGATCGGCGTCGTTGGTCGTCGATAATCACGTCCACTACCTATCGGTCGGCCGTCCTCGGAGTGGCACCGCGAGTCTGGTTGTAGTGTTGACCGCGGGAACCCCATACTCTGATCGGGTTCTGACCCCAGACGGAGATCCGACGTCAGGTGTAAGAGTGCAGGGGAGTGTTTTTGCGGTAGGGCCCTAAAACTCCTTGGGCCCGCGCTCTGCTCCCAACATCTGCAGATCGTCAAGTCCCACATACCCCGCGTGCCCCCTAGGCGCGGAGACCTCGCAAGAGGTTCGGCCCCTGGCCCGAAAAAAAAAAAAGTCTGATTTATCCTTAAAGACGTGTCTAAGGCGTTGACGGTTACTGGCGCCTGCGTGATTAGGATTCGGGGAGTAGTCAGTGGTGGCAACGATAAGGCGATTATCATGAAGCATAGCCTTATCGAAGTAGCGTTCCGACGCTGACTGTAAATTCAGTGAGTGTTTCTGGATTGATTCGAGGCCCAAGTCGTCGTGTAGGTCAACGTTCCCCACGAACCACGGAGACCAATTAAGGTGACGCAATAGTGGCAAATGAAAAAATAAAAAACAGTGCTTTAAGCTACCACACTTCATTTAACCTAACATACTTTACTCTGTTCAAAACTACTTTAATCATATAATTTCCTATTCTTACCTTAGCGCTATCTCGGTCCTCAAGTTCATCCTCAAGTTCTTCGGGCACATCACTCGTAATGAGGACTCCATTGAGCGGTTGGTGGTGCAAGGGAAAGTCGAGGGCAAAAGATCTCGCGGACGATCTCCAACACGATGGACCGACCTCATAAAAACTGTGACTCACTCCAACATAAATGATTGCTCTCTCACTCTGCGAAACATAGTGCCACATGGCGTCACATCGCGAGAGCATCGGTATCGCAGGATCCGACTGATGCATGACCACGACCACTCTGTCAAGAGTGTACGAATAGGAAGAGACATCTCGGTGAGTCTTTCAACGACAACTTGCTGTTAAGAGGTGGCCACTTTTTCAATTTGTCCCCGATACACGACGGTGCTGCTTACCTCTACCATCCATATTTTCCGACTTCCTCTAAATAGGCTGAAGTCTTTCTACGTAAATGTGGTAGTGGCCTTTTTAGTCGCTTTAACCTGTTAAAGCTTAATTTGATTCTTCCCAAAAAGTCTATTGAGCTCTTCGGA